ATTACGCCACCCACCTTTTGGTCACCATCTTCCCGCACACTACTACTCGGTCGCTCGTCACTTCCTTCCCCCTCTACGCCCTTCTCTTTAGCGTGGATTGGCAGGAGTACAGCAATATAAAAGTCTATTGCGTCATCGCGGGCACGATCCCCGCGTGCGAAGAGTATGAAGATTTTCTCGCCACCATCCACTGCACCCTCTGCACCCTCTATCCTGACTACCTCGCCTCTCTCCCCCATCAACGCCGACACCCTCGTTTCCCCCGCATCCATCACTCCATCCATTTCGTCCCACTCCCCTCTACTGACAAGGAAATTTACCACTTCATGCTTCCTCTCCCCTTAGCCTATCCACCACCTAGTCCCCCATCCGTAATCAGACTACCTTTCCCGGACAATATTTTGGATTGAGCGCACGCATGCCACTTTGGATGACTTCCACACTTAGATCCTACAGTAAGTGGCACGTGTCAGCTCCACATCGATGATCGGACAATGGATCGGCGTCTAATGACAGAGCAAGCAGGAGCTTGCTCAAGATTCTTACCCCCTGGGCCTCACATATATGACGAACTATTTTTTGTAACCACGCAATTTTCTGTGGAGGTTGCTATGGGTAACGGGATGGGTTAGATGGGTGAGATGTGTGGGGAGGGTCGGCTCAGTTAGTTGCGTGGATGCCCTTGTTTCCTTTTGTTTTTTGCTAGAAGTTGTCATATCGGTCCCGGGAAAATCCCGTGCCAACAGTTGGGTAGCCACGCCTTAGCGAGCCCGAAAAATAATTGTACCGTAGCTTCTTTCTTGTTCTGCTGTGAGTACTGGGAATTTTGGCGGGAATCTCGTTTTTTTTTTCAAATTTCAACTGATGTCAAGCCCCCATGGGCTCCTGGAATTATTTTTCTTTCGCCTATTGGAAATTTTCATTTGCAATTAGGATTTAAGCGAGGAATTTAGGCACCTTCTTAATTTCGCCGCGCGACGCTTCTTGCTTACGCACGCCTTGTCACGACAAGATCTGGGACCTGACTTCTCCGCGCCTTAATCTTGTGTGTAACTGTCGTTTTTTTGGCGAGCGCGATTGTAACTATATCCTTCTTCTTTTTTGGTTTCCTCGTGTTTGCCCGCCTTCTCTTTCTTCCTCGCCGTACATACTCTGTTCTAATTGGCCGGAGCGCCTGCATGAGCGGATTGATGCATGGAGAGTAGCTACGACCCCCACGCCGCGGCCTTCCCACGCAGACGTAGACACTTCCTCTTTTCTCCTCTTGTCCACCTGGGCTTAATCCGATACCTTTCGCGCAGGCATGCATGGTATAAATTTGGCAAGCGCGATTAGTTTTCTCTCCAAGAATTTCGTGGTTAGAGCGATCAGTGAGGGTCGGCTAACGAGCAAGTTTGGAAGGTAAGTTTCGTGGTTAGAGCGATCAGTGAGGGTCGGCTAACGAGCAAGTTTGGAAAATAAGTGAGTGCGAGAGTTAGGCGATCCGACGAAGTGGTCTCGGGTATGCTGGGTTGACGTGCGGGCCGCAACGGACTGTGGCGCACAGGCGAACCTAGCTTGCATACTCGAACCAAGTGGGGTGACGACTCTGCGTGGATACCCGACGATGGACTGCCAGTATCAAGGGTGTAGAGCATCCAGAGGGAGAGAGAGAGAGAGCAATTGTGTGTGTGGGATGAGGTTTCTTCCTTTATTCCTCTGTGTCATTTTGGATCCTGGTATGGCCGATTTTATCGCGGCCTTTTGAAACTTCTCTTTGTAAATCGCCTCAGATTTTCATTGACGTTCTTAATTCGCATTCATGCATGAAGTAAATGTGAATTCCCTTTCCCTAATGACCTTTTCGGATTTCCCAGTTTTGCTTTGCGATGCCTGTTTCGTCTCTGTCTACTTTTCACTTGCGTATGCTCAGATCTGATTGTCATGGATGTTTTTGGTTTAGTCATTAACTTTCAGTCAACAAAAAGATGATTGTCCTTTCCCCTCTTTCCTCCTTTTTGTCACATGTATAGCATGAATTGACCAGATCTCACCCAACGTAGCATGAGTAAGATATTTGCATGTATGACGAACGCGACCGGTACACTAAACCAGCCCCCTGTTTCACACGTGCGCGCTTGAGTACGACTTCGATCTCGAGAGAGCTGAGTAGGTGCATACTCGCTCGTTTGGCGAATCAGCCTTAACCCCGTACAAGGATGCAACGGACCAAACTTGCTTACGGATATGGCCACGGGATTTCCCTCTTGTATGTTCGATCGTGAGAACCTGAGGGACCCGGAATATCACGAATACTGAAAAAACGTGCAACTCAAACGGCGGGGGAGCTTATGAAATCCGGAATTCCCCTGTCTGACAAGAACAACAGATTGTGCGCAAGGGCCTTTCACTGTACCATGACTAACGATCCCAGGGGCCCCGACTACCCGAATACTTATAACACGCAATATTTCATATCCCCCAGCTTCGTCGTTATTACCACCAACTTCCCTCCCTTTCACCTCCTCCTTCCATATCACCGACTCACGGTGGTGCCGTGGAATTCCATAGCCCGCTACAAGCCCTGCAAACCGTGCGGACAGTGTCGGCGACACCAGACATATCGAGTTTCAAAAAATGCTCGACGAGCCCGAACCGAAGCCGAGCAGCACAGGCAACCGGCTGAACCACGCAACCAACCGCGAAGGCGAAGCCAGAGGAGATGGTGATTTCCATTTTCGGGTTTTGAAGCTGAAGAAAATTGAGTTTTTCGGCAGGGGCAATGTTGTTGGGATTTTGTTTGAGAATGCAAAAGTGTTTAGATCTGTCGGTGCTGTGATGGCGGAAGAATATCCCGGGATCTTTAGTCTGGGATGCATTGCACATGCCACCTGCCTTATGCTGCACGACATCTCCGGATCTCCTTCTATGAGCAAACCACGGGAGATGACCTACTTTCCTCCCAATAAAAATTAAAGAGCCAAGTTCGACCTGCACATACCCTCTTGCGCCTTTACCCCCAAAACTTGCCACACGAGATCTCAATTCCGACCTGGGACTCCACCCCCACTTTCCTAAAATCCTTGGCACACCCCTTTTTCTCACTTCCGAATCCCCATGTCACTCCGATCAGGAAGTCGCACCGGGCGTGAGGTTGGGCGTTACATTGGGGTTCTAGAAACCCGACCCCACCCCCTTGAACAAAAAAAATAATAAAAACTATTTTTCGGGGGGGTTGTTTTTGTAAGTGATAAAAAAAGTCAAAACAAATACAAAAAAAATGAATATTGATTACTTGAATGTTTTTTGATTGATTGTTTGATTGATTGATTGACTGGATGATTGATTGATCGACTGATTGGTTGATTGATTGATTGATTGATCGATGGATTGACTGATTGGTGGGGGATGCCCTCCCAACCCTCCCCGCGACACACACACACACACACACACACACACACACACACACACACACAAACACAAACACACGGGCACACACACACACGCGCGCGCACACACACATACACAACACACACACATACACAATACACACACACACAATGACACACCCACGCACACACACACACCTGCCCACGCACAAACACACACACACACACAATCAATCAATCAATTAATCAATCGATCAGTGTGAGTATCTAGAAAAAAAAAAAAAAAAA